GCAGTACTAATCATCCTTTCATATTTTTCTTACAAATTAAGTATTTGAACTGATTCCAAAGGAAAATCAGGGTACATGATTTTCTGTACAAAGAAAATGAAAGTACAAAAGTCAGAGATGATGGGAAGAGAGGCTTACTTTGTTATCTTGAAAGTCTTCATATTCTTCATCCTGCAGGAGGAGCTGACGGTGGAGGGTGTCACAGCCGCCCCGGCCAGGACCCGTCACCAGGCCGTCCCCGCTCGAGCTGTTACTGTAGCTGTTGGAGCCGCTGCTGCCGCTGCTCATACTCTCGCTCAAGTGCTGCCCAACTGAACGAAGAAACAGGTTTTTGTTATACTGACTAGTTAGGCCTAGAGGAGCAGGAGTTGCCTTGTAATTCTGAGCTCTTTCCTACAACACATTTATCATTTAATGTTAAGTGTTACCCCATAAAACATGTTCATTTTCTCCTATTCTTGTTCTCCTTATGTCCTCTGTAAATCTCTACGTCAGTGGCTACATTTCTTGAACGATGTGTTAGCTTTCTTCCTGTTCATTATTAAGTGGCTACCTTGTCAAACCTTCCAACAGCCTAACTGAATGATTTCAAGTTACGCCCGAAACGCTTCGTGCATTAGTGGCCTAATTAAATATACCTACTTTGTAACAATCATTAAACCACCGTGTATTATTCTTTGAATAGATTTTCAATCAAATTATTATTACTATTATTATTATTCACAAAGAAATCACACAAACGCGATATATCAATAAGAAAATCAAATGGAGCGCTGCACTGACTCGAACCTGGGATCTGGGAGTACACTATTTATTTATTTATTTTATTTATTTACAAGAAGGTACATTGGCTTTATGAGAGAACATAGCATTGGTGTTTTGACATTCTTGCAAATCCACTGACACGCATAGCATTTCGGGCAGGTCCTTAATCTAACAGATAATTTTAAGTAGGTAATTTGTAGTAAAATTTAAAATTTTTAACAGGTTTGATCGCTTGATCGACTCGATTGATTTTCTCATTATTATTATTATTATTATTATTATTATTATTATTATTATTATTATTATTATTATGAATATTAAAGCCTTACCTACATGTTTTCACTAGGATGCGATCGTTATGGCCTATATCCAGACTCCTATTTACTGCTGAGTGCATAGTTATAGATAAAAGGAATGGCATCGGTGCCAAATTGGCATTTATCAGCAATAATCTACAATTTTCTTTAATTTGTTTTATCTTATCAGCCAACAACGCAAAAATTATCATTATCTGCGTTGTTTAAGAGCAACAAGTAATAGGATCCTCTTAGTATAAATACACCAACCTAAGAAATTGGTTTCAATTAGCCTGCAGAATATAACCAATTATCAAGGAGATTAATATTCTTAAATGACTATTGTTTGAAATTGGTGGATTACACTAATATTACACTAAGACTATTCTACAATTTCCAGATATATTTCTCGACTTGTTCTTTAATTCTAGCATTTATTATTCAAACAAATAATAACTGATGATGGACTCAACATGAAAGCGTCATAAGCTCAGAATCCCAACATTATCAACACGCAACTTTTAGATACATTTATTTGATTTTATTTAATTTAAACAAATTTTTATTTATTTATTTAAGCAAACCTTCAACATGTGTAATATACGTAAATTAACATTTTGCTAAAGTAAAATACAAGCTAATTTACCTTAAATTCAGCCCATTGTCCTAATATAATAGTTCTTATAGCAACTACTTTGGTCAAGCGTTAAAAAATGGACTGTTGACCCGAAAATTCCCCATTAGGCCTAGTGCTGCATATATATAGTGAGGATCCACAAGATCTTCTCTGAGTACTCTTTATTTTTTTTCTCCGAGGCTATGGGTCCCTACACTTGCACCAGAGGTGGTACCCCTCCTATATATTGAAATATATATATATATAGAAGAAGGGGTACCACCTCAGGTGCAAGTGTAGAGACCCATAGCCTCGGAGAAGAAGATAAATTTATATATATATATATCCACTGTGGATCACACCCACTGGATCACACCCACTGTGGATCACACCCACTGGATCACACCCACTGTGGATCACACCCACTGGATCACACCCACTGTGGATTACACCCACTGTGGATCACACCCACCGTGGATCACATCCACTGTGGATCACATCCACTGTGGATCACATCCACTGTGGATCACACCCACTGGATCACACCCATTGTGGATCACACCCACTGGATCACACCCACTGTGGATCACACCCACTGGATCACACCCATTGTGGATCACACCCACTGGATCACACCCACTGTGGATTACACCTACTGTGGATCACACTCATTGTGGATCACACCCACTGGATCACACCTACTGTGGATCACACTCATTGTGGATCACACCCACTGGATCACACCCACTGTGGATCACACCCACTGTGGATCACACCTACTGTGGATCACACCCACTGTGGATCACACCCACTGGATCACATCCACTGTGGATCACACCCACTGGATCACACCCACTGTGGATCACACCCACTGTGGATCACGTGGATCACTCACACACGCGCGCACTGCACCTAATACCCACTGTATTCACCTAGTTGTAGTCACTTAGTTGTGCTTGCGGGGGTTGAGCTCTGGCTCTTTGGTCCCGCCTCGCAACCGTCAATCAACTGGTGTACAGATTCCTGAGCCTATTGGGCTCTATCATATCTACATTTGAAACTGTGTATGGAGTCAGCCTCCACCACATCACTGCCTAAAGCATTCCATTTATTAACTACTCTGACAGTGAAAAAGTTCTTTCTAATGTCTCTGTGGCTCATCTGGGTACTAAGTTTCCACCTGTGTCCCCTTGTTCGTGTTCCACCCGTGCTAAATAGTTTGTCTTTGTCCACCCTGTCAATTCCCCTGAGAATTTTGTAGGTGGTTATCATGTCTCCCCTTACTCTTCTGTTTTCCCAGGGACGTGAGGTTCAGCTCCTTTTGCCTTTCTTCGTAGCTCATACCTCTCAGTTCCGGAACGAGTTTGGTGGCATACCGCTGAATCTTCTCTAACTTTGTCTTGTGTTTAACTAGGTATGGGCTGTGTCTTACACTCACTGCACCTCATACCTACTGTGCCTCTCATACACTGTGACTCATACCTACAGTATACCACACCGACAGTGCCTAATACCTACTGTGCTTCATAACAATTGTGCTTCATAACGTCTGTGTTTCATACCTACTGTGCCTCACACCCACTGTGCCTCACACCCCTGTGCCTCACACCCACTGTGCCTCACACCCACTGTGCCTCATACCCAATGTGCATCATACCTACTTTCTTATGCCCACTGTGCCTCACATTTACTGTGCCTCGTACCCACTGTACCTGATGCTTACTGTGCATCATACCTATTGTAGCTCATGCCAAGTAGCAGGCATCCTGCAGTCTCGGGAGACTATGGAGTTGCGCTCTGGTTGTCGAGGATGGAGTGTCCTCTCCAGAGCGCAAAGTCAGGGTAGGTTGATATGGTGAAGCTGTTACCCATGCAGCAGGTTCCATCTCTCCACGTTACTGAAATTATCCAATGGAAAGGCAAACTCCAATACGCTTGGATCCAGGCCCGTCGCACGAGCTGCCAGAACGAAAGTCAACAATGAACTGCCTTAAGGGCTCCAGCTCATACTTACAGTGAATCACACCCACTTGTCTCATACCTACTGTGCCTTATACTTATTGTGCCTCATACCTACTGTGCCTTATACTTATTGTGCCTCATACCTACTGTGCCTTATACTTATTGTGCCTCACTTATACTTATTGTGCCTCATACCTACTGTGCCTTATACTTATTGTGTCTCATACCTACTGTGCCTTATACTTATTGTGCCTCATACCTACTGTGCCTTATACTTATTGTGCCTCATACCTACTGTACCTTATACTTATTGTGCCTCATACCTATTGCGCCTTATACTTATTGTGCCTCAAACCTACTGTGCCTTATACTTATTGTGCCTCATACCTACTGTGCCTTATACTTATTGTGCCTCATACCTACTGTGCCTTATACTTATTGTGCCTCATACCTACTGTGCCTTATACTTATTGTGCCTCATACCTACTGTGCCTTATACTTATTGTGCCTCATACCTACTGTGCCTTATACTTATTGTGCCTCATACCTACTGTGCCTCATACTTATTGTGCCTCATACCTACTGTGCCTTATACTTATTGTGCCTCATACCTACTGTGTTTTATTGTACTGTGCCTTATTTCCACTGTACTATATACCTCCTGTTCCTCACACTGTATATCATACCGACTGTGGCTGACACTCACTGTGCCTCACACCCATTGTGCAGCATATTCACTGTGCCTCACACCCATTGTGCAGCATATTCACTGTGCCTCACACCCATTGTGCAACATATTCACTGTGCCTCACACCCATTGTGCAGCATATTCACTGTGCCTCACACCCATTGTGCAGCATATTCACTGTGCCTCACACCCATTATGCAGCATATTCACTGTGCCTCACACCCATTGTGCAGCATATTCACTGTGCCTCACGCCTTATCCTACAGCAGTTAAGGGTCAGTGCCCAGGCATTCTTCCCTTGATGGGCTCGAACCCACAAGTAATTGCTGGTGAGACGCTGGACGAGTCTGTCCTGCTCTCATTCCCCGATTTATTTATAATTTATTTATATAAGAAACATAACTAGGCGTTCCCATTATGTTTTCTGAGACAATTTATGTGAGTCTAAATGGGAACTATTTCCCTCAGTACAGCAGAATGACCACAAGTTCTTAAGAACACTTTCCACGCAACAAACACAAAATTCTCTTCAGCGGCAGTACTAATCATCCTTTCATATTTTTCTTACAAATTAAGTATTTGAACTGATTCCAAAGGAAAATCAGGGTACATGATTTTCTGTACAAAGAAAATGAAAGTACAAAAGTCAGAGATGATGGGAAGAGAGGCTTACTTTGTTATCTTGAAAGTCTTCATATTCTTCATCCTGCAGGAGGAGCTGACGGTGGAGGGTGTCACAGCCGCCCCGGCCAGGACCCGTCACCAGGCCGTCCCCGCTCGAGCTGTTACTGTAGCTGTTGGAGCCGCTGCTGCCGCTGCTCATACTCTCGCTCAAGTGCTGCCCAACTGAACGAAGAAACAGGTTTTTGTTATACTGACTAGTTAGGCCTAGAGGAGCAGGAGTTGCCTTGTAATTCTGAGCTCTTTCCTACAACACATTTATCATTTAATGTTAAGTGTTACCCCATAAAACATGTTCATTTTCTCCTATTCTTGTTCTCCTTATGTCCTCTGTAAATCTCTACGTCAGTGGCTACATTTCTTGAACGATGTGTTAGCTTTCTTCCTGTTCATTATTAAGTGGCTACCTTGTCAAACCTTCCAACAGCCTAACTGAATGATTTCAAGTTACGCCCGAAACGCTTCGTGCATTAGTGGCCTTATTAAATATACCTACTTTGTAACAATCATTAAACCACCATGTATTATTCTTTGAATAGATTTTTAATCAAACTATTATTACTATTATTATTATTCACAAAGAAATCACACAAACGCGATATATCAATAAGAAAATCAAATGGAGCGCTGCACTGACTCGAACCTGGGATCTGGGAGTACACTATTAATTTATTTTATTTATTTATTTACAAGAAGGTACATTGGCTTTATGAGAGAACATAGCATTGGTGTTTTGACATTCTTGTAAATCCACTGACACGCATAGCATTTCGGGCAGGTTCTTAATCTAAGAGATAATTTTAAGTAGGTAATTTGTAGTAAAATTAAAATTTTTTAACAGGTTTGATCGCGTGATCGACTCGATTGATTTTCTCATTATTATTATTATTATTATTATTATTATTATTATTATTATTATTATTATGAATATTAAAGCCTTACCTACATTTTTTCACTAGAATGCGATCTACAAATCGTTATGGCCTATATCCAGACTCCTATTTACTGCTGAGTGCATAGTTATAGATAAAAGGAATGGCATCAGTGCCAAATTGGCATTTATCAGCAATAATCTACAATTTTCTTTAATTTGTTTTATCTTATCAGCCAACAACGCAAAAATTATCATTATCTGCGTTGTTTAAGAGCAACAAGTAATAGGATCCTCTTAGTATAAATACACCAACCTAAGAAATTGGTTTCAATTAGCCTGCAGAATATAACCAATTATCAAGGAGATTAATATTCTTAAATGACTATTGTTTGAAATTGGTGGATTACACTAATATTACACTAAGACTATTCTACAATTTCCAGATATATTTCTCGACTTGTTCTTTAATTCTAGCATTTATTATTCAAACAAATAATAACTGATGATGGACTCAACATGAAAGCGTCATAAGCTTAGAATCCCAACATTATCAACACGCAACTTTTAGATACATTTATTTGATTTTATTTAATTTAAACAAATTTTTATTTATTTATTTAAGCAAACCTTCAACATGTGTAATATACGTAAATTAACATTTTGCTAAAGTAAAATACAAGCTAATTTACCTTAAATTCAGCCCATTGTCCTAATATAATAGTTCTTATAGCAACTACTTTGGTCAAGCGTTAAAAAATGGACTGTTGACCCGAAAATTCCCCATTAGGCCTAGTGCTGCATATATATAGTGAGGATCCACAAGATCTTCTCTGAGTACTCTTTATTTTTTTTCTCCGAGGCTATGGGTCCCTACACTTGCACCAGAGGTGGTACCCCTCCTATATATTGAAATATATATATATATATATATATATATATATATATATATATATATATATATATATATATAGAAGGGGTACCACCTCAGGTGCAAGTGTAGAGACCCATAGCCTCGGAGAAGAAGATAAATTTATATATATATATATATATATATATATATTATATATATATAACTGAAAACTCACACCCTAGAAGTGACTCGAACCCATACTGCCAGGAGCATTTTGCAATTGGTGTACAGGGCACCTAATCCACTCGACCATCACGACCGGACAAAAGCTGATGGTAGCCGAGGCTATTTGCCCATCAGCCCGCCGGCACTCTGATGGTAATCTTGGGCATAGTATTTTATCACTATGTGATAAAATAATGATAAGTGCCGGCTGGCTGATGGGCAAATAGCCTCGGCTACCATCAGTTTTTGCCCGGTCGTGATGGTCGAGTGGATTAGGTGCCCTGTACACCAGTTGCAAAATGCTTCTAGCAGTATGGGTTCGAGTTACTTCTGGGGTGTGAGTTTTCAGTTGCATGTATGCCTGAGGACCATTCACGCTTGTTCGCATATATATATATATATATATATATATATATATATATATATATATATATATATATATATATATATTGGCTCATATACCGAATGAGCCAAGGATTAGGTTAGTTCTATTTAAATTTCCAATTTGTTTAATGCTATTTGCCCTAATTCAATAACTACTATCATTTTAGGAGGCTGGGCTGCTTAAATTTTGGGTATAAATATTGTATACCCTATACAGTAGTGCATGAGAATGTGTATAATTATATGCCAATAGGTAAATAAAATCTGTTCCAATTTGTAATCTTATCCTTTGTATTGTTCTAAACATTATTATTATTATTATTATTATTATTATTATTATTACCACCTATCATAATTTTCTCATTGTTATTATTATTAGTAGTAGTAGTAGTATGTAAGTATTATTACTGACTGTGGAGGTTGGCCTGGTCCATGGCGAGGTAGGGGAGGGAGGTGGAGGAGCGGGCCCGTATCCTGAGGGTGGGGTAGGCCAGAGCCAGCGCCTCCAGCTGCATCACCAGCCCACGACGAAGACATTCCAGCTTCCCGCTCAGGGGCTCCCCCGGCAGCGCCTCGCTCAGGAAGTAGTGCACTCCTGGGCAGATAAGACGGACATTATATATGTGTGTGTATATATGTATTATACATATATATATATATTTTAAAAAGAGAATGAATGTGTGTCTACATTTGGGGGCTAACCTCACCCAAACTTTGCAGGGTGACTGATCTTTGTCAGAAGATGGTCAAAGTCGAATCATCTCCCGTTTTACATGAAATGGCAAATCAGACTAATTAACAATTTCGCTAAATAAAAGACTCCATCTTTACTAAGAATACTGGCATGAAGGGAAATGTGTTGAACAACAGGGAAGGTGGTGAAAGGTAGGGAAGGTGGTGAAAGGTAGGGAAGGTGACGAAAGGTAAGGAAGGCGGTGAATGGCAGGGAATAACATAAACATAAAAGAGAATGTCTGTCTGTCCGAGGTTGGACGCCAGATGCTTGGGGCTAGTCTATAGGTATTTATAAGACCACTTGCGATTTTTGTAAAGTCTGAAATAAAATTGGACATGTGTTTTCCGTAGAGTTTTTATTCATACTCTTGCCGTTACCGCACAAATGCATATGTACCTAATGTATTAATAAAAATAATGCCGTATCTTCAATATTCTTTTTAAGTGCAATCTACCTGTCTCTGATATTCCTCTTTATCTATACCCCACCATTCAAGTATCATACACACCCGTCACCAAGAAAGGTAATGAGAATCTTGCTCTTCTCAAAGCTGTCACATTTGAAACAATTGCCTCCTCCATCGAATATTTAAAATCTCACGAACACTGTGTCTGCACGGGTGACGGCTCAGTCCAATCTTCTACTGGACGAACTGCAGCAGCATGCAGGTTTTATAGAAATAATATTTGCTCACAGACTGTCAGTGTCAGGTTAAACAACTGGCTGACCTACACACAGAACTAGCGGCACTACAACTAGCTACAAAAACATTACAAAACATAGAAGGAATAATATTTTATGACTCAAAGTCTGCTCTTCAAGCAATCGAAAACTTCTCCTGGAAGATCGACAGCAAGAACCTCATACTACCAATTATAAATGACCTAATCGCTGCACAGAGCAAAGGGTCTCGAATCTCCTTTGCATGGATACCATCAAACATAAATATAACCCTTCATAATGACACAGACATTGCAGCCAAATTAGCGTGTAACAAAGATGAAGCTGAATTAGATCTAGGTATCCCCATCTCTGCTGTCAAAACCATATTGTTCCAAACACTCAGGTCTGATAGGAGAGAAATTACTGACTCCCAACGACCTGAAAGCACCAGTATAAAAAGCTATGATTTGTTTAGATCTGAAACCTATATCTATGGGAAGCACAAAACGTCGACCAGACTGTGCGACACAGTGGTTGCCAGAATCAGGTTGGGTTACCGTTACCTGTGGCAGGTCGCTACAAGTGACGGATCTCCCAATCCTGAGCACTCCAGGTACAAACTCTGTGAGCAGGAACTGGGGCATGATCTCCCACACTACATTACTGAATGCCAAGTTATCAGACCATTTAGACCCGTTGGCATGAGGTACCTGGAACTTTGGAATTACTTCATTCACTCTCGTGTTCTTGAGGATATCCTCATATTGCACCCCAAATTTGCCAGTGCAGGCTGCTGAACATATGGCCCTGTATGATTAACCATCCTGCGAGATGGTGACTTTTAGTACCACTGCTACCTTATTCACTTTGTGTTCATGATATCCTCATAATGCAGCCAGAGTCTCCTAGTGCAGACTACTGCTCACATGCTTTTGTATGACTAACCTGTGTGATAGGGATTTTAGCCAACGTAGCTAGCTTTTTGACACACACTTTACTCCCCTTCATGCAGTCTAGGGTAGCTGCACAAATGAAGATGTACCTAAATGTGTTAAAAAAAGTTACAGTATCATGTGATGGGGATTTTTAGCACCACATAGCTACCTTTTTTCACATACTGTACTTCTCTTCATAGTCTAGGGTAGCTGCACAAATGTATATGTACCTAAATGGTAATAAAAAAAGTTACAGTTTTACATTTTCTGAGACGGAAATATGCGAGATTTGGAGAGAGAAGGTGGTAGGGGGGGGGGATGTTGGGTGTTACAATCTTAAGGAGTTTGGGAGCCCTAATTTTATAGTGTGAGAAGACATGATTGTTTACTTGATAAATGTGGGAGATCTTGATTTTTATTACCATGGTAAATGTGATACGATATGAAATGTAGTACAATACAAGTTAGAGTATTTACAGATTAAGTTGCATCTATGATCTGTGAGAAAGAGTATTTATCTATCATTAGATAATATAGACAGCTCATCATCTTGAAATTACAATGGCGGGAAGTCAGCAGATTGCCAGGCGTCAGATTATCTTAAAGCCCCTAGAGCCAAGCATATATGTTATTCTGATATTTTGACTAGTGGACCATATAGTCAGAATGATGCATTAATGCTAGGGATTGAATGTTGACCTTTGAATATTATCGAGAGTATTGTGCAGTGGGAGTGTCTGCAGTATGATATTAGCACAACTTGCCAACTACTCACATGACAATGTGTCGTCCTGAGTGTGCTGACGGATTGTGGTCAAGGCATGGCACGGGCACATCTCTTAGTGTTAAGTACCTTCTTTGATTTGTATTAAATAGAGCCATCAGGTCTGTTATTTGGATATATTATTTGTAATTGTATGTTGCTGGTGCCCGGTGTTCCTGCTCCTGGAGTAATGTGCTTGCATTAAGACCCAAAGTGTGCCCATGAGGGAATAAGTAGTGTTTACCGCTCGAGTACCGTTGTACATCTCGTCTCTTGTCTGTGTGGAGTCGGGGATTTAACGTAACGTAGTATGTACTCGCCTAGTTGTGCTTGTGGGGGGGGGGTGAGCTTTGGCTCTTCGGTCCCGCCTCTCGACTGTAAATCAACTGGTGTACAGATTCCTGATCCTACTGGGCTCTATCATATCTACATTTGAAACTGTGTATGGAGTCAGCCTCCACCACATCACTGCCTAATGCATTCCATCTGTTAACTACTCTGACACTGAAAAAGTTCTTTCTAACGTCCCATTTGGGTACTCAGCTTCCACCTGTGTCCCTTTGTTCGCGTATCACCCGTGTTAAAAGTTTATCCTTATCTACCCTGTCAATTCCTCTGAGAAGGTTGTAGGTAGTGATCATGTCTCCCCTAACTCTTGTGAATTTCAGTATCGTGAGGTTTAGTTCCAGTAATCTTTCCTCGTAGCTCATTCCTCTCAGCTCGGGGACTAGCCTGGTGGCATACCTCTGAACCTTGTCTAATTTGGTTGATTAGATACACTGAGTTTATGGTTTTGACTTTTATTTAGTAGTCTTGGTTACAGCAGTTGGCTGTTGGTAGTGTTGTAAACGTTAAGACGAAGCCTGGTGCAGAGCGAAGCTGGGTGAGGCCAAAGTCGCAGAGCTCGATGCGAACGAGAGCGTAGAAGCTCGAGGCGGCCGGAGTCTGGCTGTGTGTCGAAGCTGAAGCGTCTTGGAGTCGCGTGGAACTGGACACGTCGAGTGCTACATTCTTGAGGTTGAACGTGTGAGGTAACTCCAAGCGTGTATACTATACTTCCCACACCTTGCCCGAAATGCTGTGCGTATTAGTATGTACTAGCTCTTTCTAGAAATCAAACATTATGTTTGTAACTCATTTTGTATGTACTTTTACCTGAATAAATATTTGATATGATTTGATTTGATGTAGTTTTAGATTTAGCTACTGGAACAAAAAGTTCCATGTAGCATGAGCTGTGGTGTGCCCCTAAGTGGAGGCTTTTTAGAGCCATTATCAGTATCAATACTGATACTGGAGATCTGAGGATGGGGTCCGTGGACACGCCAATCTAATCCAAGACCATAGGACTGATCAGACCGGTAAATTGATGGGGTACAGTGTGTCACTCACAGTTCAGTGCCACAGGAGTCAGCAGGGCTGTTGGCTGTCTGGCCACAGTCGGCCGGTCTAGGGAGAGATGTCTGGGTGTTACAAGAGAATTGGTTTCCTTATCCCAGTTCCCCAAAGTTTGTACTCTGGTTGAATTTCCTTCTTCTAGGTGTTGTAGTCGCAGAGGTGGTTGCGGCATTCTTGAGGGACGACCATGTGAAGGATCCGTCCTGCTTCCTTGCTCTTGTATTCCCCAGTAGTCGTTGTGGATTATGGAGTTATGCTGTCTGTCCTCCTTGGAAAGTGCGCGTCTACGTCGGCTATACCTGGAGGAGGTAGCCTGGGAGCCTGTCAGTCTGGTTGGTGCCAATGTAGGATTTGGCGGGGTAGATGGTGCCTGGGCGGCCGCTTGAGGGGCGGGAGAGGTGGTGACATCGACTGAAGCATCGGAGTCGGTCGAGTCATCGTGGTCGGCTTCGTCATCGGGGTTAAGGCAACAGCCTGGGGGCCGGCTGCCATCTCTGTCAGTGGGACATGCCCAGGGACTGCGGAGTCGCATGGCCGGATGGTGAGGGCTCCCTGGGGGTTGACTCTGGCGTCCCTGAGGCGGAGAGTCCAGTAGAAATTGTGGAAGATGGAAGAAAACTCATTCGCGACGAGGAGCCTGTTGATGACATGGATGTCGTTGCCCGCTATATTGTGGGCGAGGTGAAGGAGGACGGGTAAAAGGGTGATCTTGGTGGTGGATGCTGCAGGCTGGGCCGATGGTGGTGTGGTCAGTATCCAGGGCAGGTGGGCCCTGGACCATAGGAGTCTGGTAAGCAGTAAAGTTGTTAAATGGTCACGTAGAGCCGGTTTGAAGTGTTGTGCCCCAAGTGATTATTCTTGGGGCACATCTTGATTGATGAAGATTAAGCCACCCAAGAGGTAGCATGAATAGCCCGTAAAGTGATTATTCACTTCTCGATTGCTTATATAATCAGACCAAACCTCACCTAATAAGTTGGAAGTAGTGTTACCTGTAATTAGGGAAGAGGTATTAATGGATTACATAGACTTAACAAACTCATCTTATTAATTTAAGCTAATGAGAGCTTGGAGCGAGTATTTTATTGACATATTCTCAC